GCCTCAGCTTCCTGACAAGCTGAGATTACAAGCACCTGCCACCATGCCCGGCTAATTTTTGTATTTCTTTTTTTAGTAGAGATGGTGTTTCACCATGCTGGCCAGGCTGGTCTCGAACTCCCAAGCTCAGATGATCCACCCACCTCAGCCTCCCAAAGTGCTGCGATTACAGGCAAGATCCACCGCACCTGGCCTTGTATTTCTTGACTGTGGTGTAAGTAGAATAAAATACTAAACAGTGCTCTGAACACTTTATGGTTTTGCCTACACTATAAAGTAGTTTTGCTTTAAATTGGTACTTACAAAAATAAAACCTGCAACTTGGGATTTAACAAGATTTTGCAATTACATGCATTTTTTTATTACCTAGTCTAATTTTGGACCCATCTTTCCATTCTATTTCACTAGGCACTAACGTAGGCATGTGGTTCTATACAAATTACAGTTAAGATCAACAGTGAGGCGAATTACAGCAAAAATTATCAATAAAAAGTTACCTGCAGAGTAGCTGGTACCATTCCTTCTGAAACTATTCCAAACAATCGAAAAAGAGGGAATCCTTCCCAAATAATTTTATGAGACCAACATCATCCTGATACTAAAATCTGACAGAAACTCAGCAAAAAAAGAAACTTCAGGCCAATATCCATGATGAACACAGATGCAAAAATCTTCAATAAAATACTGGCAAAGTGACTGCAACAGCACATCAAAAAGCTTATCCACCATGATCAAGTAGGCTTCATTCCAGGGATGCAAGGCTGGTTCAATATCTGCAAGTCTACAAATATAATTCAGCACATAAACAGAACCAAAGATAAAAACCACGTGATTATCTCAATTGATGCAGAGAAGACCTTTGACAAAATTCAACGGCCCTTTATGCTAAAAACCTTCAATAAACTAGGTATTGACGGAACGTATCTCAAAATATTAAAAGCTATTTACAACAAACACACAGCCAATATCATACTGAATGGGCAAAAACTGGAAGCATTCCCTTTGAAATCTAGCACTAGACAAGGATGCCCTCTCTCACCACTCCTATTCAATATAGTATTGGAAGTTCTAGCCAGAGCAATAAGGCAAGAAAAAGAAATAAAGGGTATTAAATTAGGAAAGGAGGAAGTCAAATTGTCTCTATTTGCAGATGACATGATTGTATATTTACAAGACCCCATCGTCTCAGCCCAAAATATCCTGAAACTGATAAGCAACTTCAGCAAAGTCTCAGGATACAAAATCAATGTGCAAAAATCACAAACATTCCTATAAACCAATAACAGACTTAAAGAGAGCCAAATGAAGAACAAATTGCCATTCACAATTGCTACAAAGAGAATAAAATACCTAGGAATACAACTAACAAAGAACGTAAAGGACCTCTTCAAGGAGAACTACAAACCACTGGTCAAGGAAATAAGAGAGGGCACAAATAGAAAAGCATTCCACGCTTGTGGTTAGGAAGAATCAGTATCGTGGAAATGGCCATACTGCCCAAAGTAATTTATACATTCTATGCTATCCCCATCAAGCTACCTATGACCCTCTTCACAGAACTGGAAAAAAACACCTTAAACTTCACATGGAACCAAAGGAGAGCCCACATAGCCAAGACAATCCTAAGCAAAAATAACAAAGCTGGAGGCAACACGCTACCTGACTTCAAACTATACTACAAGGCTACAGTCATCAAAACAGCATGGCACTGGTACCAAAACAGAGATACAGACCAATGGAACAGAACAGAGGCCTTGGAGGCAACGCCACACATCTACAACCATCTGATCTTTGACAAACCTCACAAAAACAAGCAATGGAGAAAGGATTCCCTGTTTAATAAATGGTGTTGGAAAAACTGGCTAGCTGTGTGCAGAAAGCAGAAACTGGACCCCTGCCTGACACCTTACACTAAAATTAACTCCAGATGGATTAAAGACTTAAACATAAGCCCTAACACCATAAAAACCCTAGAAGAAAATCTAGGCAAAACCATTCAGGACAGAGGTATAGGCAAGGACTTCATGACTAACACACCAAAAGCACTGGCAACAAAAGCCAAAATAGACAAAAGGGATCTAATTAAACTCTAGAGCTTCTGCACAGCAAAAGAAACAATCATCGGAGTGAACCAGCAACCAACAGAATGGGAAAAAATTTTTGCAAGCTACCCATCGGACAAAGGGCTAATATCCAGAATCTACAAAGAACTAAAACAGATTAACAAGAAAAAAAACAAACAAACCCACTCAAAAGTGGTCAAAGGACATGAACAGACACTTTTCAAAAGAAGACATATATGAGGCCAACAAATGTATGAAAAAATGCTTATCATCACTGGTCATTAGAGAAATGCAAATCAAAACTACATTGAGATACATCTGACGCCAGTTAGAATGGCGATCATTAAAATATCTGGAGACAACAGATGCTGGAGAGGATGTGGAGAAATAGGAACACTTTTACACCATTGGTGGGAGTGTAAATTAGTTCAACCATTGTGGAAGACAGTGTGGTGATTCCTCAAGGACCTAGAAACAGAAATTCCATTTGACCCAGCAAGCCCATTACTGGGTATATATCCAAAGGATTATAAATTATTCTATTATAAGTACACATGCACAGGAAAGTTCATCGCAGCACTTTACAATAGCAAAGACTTGGAACCAACCCAAATGCCTATCAATAATAGACTGGACAGGTAAAATGTGGCACATATACACCATGGAATACTATGCAGCCACAAAAAATGATGTCCCCCTTTGTAGGGACATGGATGAACCTGGAAACCATCATTCTCAGCAGACTGACACAGAGCAGAAAATCAGACACCACATGTTCTCACTCATAGGCGGGTGTTGAACAGTGAGAACACATGGACACAGGGAGGGGAGCATCACACACTGGGGTCTGTGGGGGAAAACTAGGGGAGGGACAGTGTGGGGTGGGAAGTTGGGGAGGGATAACATGGGGAGAAAGGCCATATATAGGTGATGGGGAGGAAGGCAACAAACCACATTGCCATGTATGTACCTATGCAACAATCTTGCATGTTCTTCACATGTATCAAACCTAAAATGCAATTTTATATATATATATATTAAAATAAACATTTTTTAATTAAAAAAAATAGGAGTTCCATTTGACCCAGCAATTCCATTACTGGGTATATATCTAAAGGATTATAAATCGTTCTATTATAAACACACATGCACAGGTATGTTTATTGCAGCACTGTTTACAATAGCAAAGACCTGGAACCAACCCAAATGCCCATCAATGACAGACCGGACCAGGAAAATGTGGCACATATACACCACGGAATACTATGCAGCCATAAAAAACGAAGAGTTCATGTCCTTTGTAGGGACATGGATGAATCTGGAAATCATCATTCTCAGCAGACTGACACAAGAACAGAAAATCAAACACCACATGTTCTCACTCACAGGCGGGTGTTGAACGATAGAACACGTGGATACAGGGAGGGGAGTGTCACACACTGGGGTCTGTTGGGGGAGACTAGGGGAGGGACAGGGAGGTTGGGGAGGGATCACATGGCGAGAAATGCCAGAGGTAGGTGAGGGGGGATGGAGGCAGCAAACCACATTGCCAAGTATGTACCTATGCAACAATCCTTCATGTTCTGTACATGTACTGCAGAACCTAAGTGCGATATACATATATGCATATGTGTGTATATATATATATATATATATATATATATATACATACATACATATATACAAACTTCCAGTTTAAAAAAAAAAGTTTACCTGCTGACACAGCGCCGATAATTGTCAAAATATATTCTTCCTCTCTCATAGGCTATAGGTGACCTGGAATGAGTTGTCCAGACATTCTTAAATTTAGTACTTTCCTAAAAGACATAAAGAATTTTCGTTTAGGAAAGAACTTAGGCTTCCACTGTGTACCAATTTTAAGTTGGATTTTAACTTTTCAAAGTAACATAATTTCACCTACGTTATTTAAAGACATTATTTTGAATCCTTCCTTCACTCTGCCCTCATGTTTTGGTTTAATAAGGTCACCAACTTTTAGAATAATTGTTTGCACGGAAGACATAAGAAGCATAAAACTAAAAGCATCTGGCGGCCCCATAACCACCTATTGACTAATCCCCCAGATTCCGGGCTTGTATCCTCCTCCCCATCACCTGTGACCCTATTAAAAAGGGGGGCCACAGTGCGTTAAAACCGCACTCCCGCAGGAGGCTCGGCCGCCAGGTGCCCGTAGCCCTCCGTTCAGCCCCGACCGGCGGGCGGTCACCTGGCACACCAGCGCCCGTAGGATGCCCAGGTTGGTCCTCTGTACCACGCCTGCGTCGCGCGAGAAGCAGCCCAGCGCCCGGCGACTCAGCCGGCTGCACACGTTGGGCTTCCGGGTCGGACCCATGGAGGCGCGGGCCGGGCGCTGCTGGGCAGGCTGGGCCGTAGAGGGGCGCGCCCCACACTCCGGTGCTGGGCAGCCGACGCTGCCTCCGAATTTCGAGGCCCAGACTTTCCCGGGGAAGCCCAGGAAAAGCTGACACGGGGAGCCGGGTCGGGAGCACCCTACGACGGGGCGAGGGAAAGCAGAACCGCTGCACCCGCAGAGCGCGAAGAGGGAAGAAGCACTCCCTTATCGACCTGCTCCTCACAGGCTCTCTGGCCGCAGACAGTGCGACGCTCCGCTACTGCGCCGCCGGCCGGAGCCGCTCTTTCACCGGGAAATGTAGTTCCTAGTGCCTCGTGAGGCAGTCCGGCTCCTCACGGGCTCTCTGGCCGCAGACAGTGCGACGCTCCGCTACTGCGCTGCCGGCCGGAGCCGCTCTTTCACCGGGAAATGTAGTTCCCAGTGCCTCGTGAGGCAGTCCGGCTTCTCGCAGGAACTACAATTCCCATCAGGCGGCGGGGAGCGAGGGCTTGCCCGGCTCCGCCTCTGCCGCCGCGGCCCCGCCTCCTCCGGCCCTCGGAGACTGCGCTGTCTGGCGGGCGCGCTTTTCCGGAGCTACGCCTGACTTGCTGGGCAGAGCCCGGAGGCCGCGGTGCTGCTGCCTGCAGCTCTCCGCTTCGTGTGCGCCCTGCATTTAGGAATCCGCCCCTCACTGTCCTGCTACCCCCACGCCTCTCAGCCCCTGACATTCGCCCTCGGAGGTTCTGGCCAGGTGCCGGGCGGGGCGCTGTGTCAAGGGCGACCCCTCAGAGCAGCGTCCCGTGCTAAAGGTACGCCCCGCGGCTTTCCCTTCAGCCGCACGTTGGCTGAGGGAGACGGTAGACTCTGCTTTTGTATTAGGAAGATGCTGGCTTCGCATTCACTCTTAGTGTCACCATCCAAGCTCGGATTGAGTTACTCTTTTCCGGAGGCCCGTCCTTTGGTGTCCTGCGGGGACACTGGGTGGTTTTGCGGTAACTGCTGCACTTTCCTTCCTCTGGCCTCCATTCTTTTTTTCTTTATAGGGAATAAAATATGAGTTGCTTACATTCTTATTGGACGACCTAAGATATCCCTCTCTAAGTAAAAGATATACTTTGTTAACTAGTCCTGCCGGTATGTTCAAAGTTCGTAGCACATTAAACTTTCAGCAGTCATGCACCGCGTGTGTCCCACCGCCTTGCCGTAAGTCCCTTGAGGGTGGTGTCGCTGTGTCTCCCACGAGGACTTGAGCATGCCTGTTCATAGGGTGCTCACAGAAAGCGAGCGATCGCACCCGACTGGCAGAGCGAAAAGTACAGGACAGCAGGTCCTCGAATCGCATTCTTCTGTTCAGTGTCACTTTGTTATAACTTGATGAGAAAAAAAAAAAAAAAAAAAATCAGTTCCTACCAGGGAATACTGTTTGCGTGGAGCTTGCCCCTTCTCCCCACGTCTGCATGGGTTTTCCCTGCGTCCCACGTAACAGTGCAGGCTGGGTGAATTCGCCTGTCTGTGTGGTTCCTAAGTGTGGGTGTGAGTGCGCCCTGTGATGGAATTGTCCTAGTGTCCAGGGTTGGTTCCCACCATGCACCCTGAGCTGAGGGGATAGGCTCCAGCCACCCTCTACCCTGAACTGGAATAATTGGGTAAATAACTATCTTACTCGTTTTTATTAATCTTCCTTAAATGTATGTATAGCTTCCATTTGTTTCAGTGTTTACTATTAGAAGTGTTTTGATCTTTATTTAGGAGTTTGGTGATGTTTTTGTGACTAGAAATGCATGTTATAGGAGCTTCACTCTTGTTTATATCAATTGGCCTATGGTAAAAAATGGTTTTGTTATATGTCATTTTGCTTACAGTCACAGTTTCCAAGAATCTGTTGATGACGTTAGGTGAGTACTTGCAGTACTGGTGAATGTGGTGGGTCACAATTTGTTTAGTAAAAGTTGGCCATATCTCTTTTTAACACTGCTGAGTTTCCTTCAGGGCCCGAGCTTTTGCTGATTTTTCATGACTTATTTACAGCATATGGTAGAGTGCTTTGTATATTTTTAGAGAGTGCTACAATAGTTAATTTGGTAATTCATGAATGCAGCTGTCACTGAGAAAACTGGAACCCAGAAGAGATAACTGAGTTTTCTTTGGCTTAAATGAAATTCAAATCATTGCTGAATTGGATTCATCAGCTCTCTCATTTCTCCTTCCTCTTTGCCCCCACTTGTTTGTCTTCCTTCCTGTGGTCTTTATTTCACCACCAAGTCATCACTAAGAGAGAATCAGCCTTGATGCCTTGCTGTTCCTCACCCACAACCAAGTCCTTTTGATTCTCTTATCCATCTCATGCGCATTTTATCTAAGTAACTTAGGGCCTTACCATTTTTTAATCATATTATTTAGTAACCTCCTAATTATTCTTTCTGCCTTACTTGTGACACAGGATTTTGTGTGTGTCTTTGTGTGTGTGTGTGTGTGTGTGTGTGTGTGTGTGTGCCTGTGTGTGTATGTTGCTTTGCCAGCTGGAGATCTCTGCGGCCAGAGACCTACCTGGGTCTTACTTGGGCTGGGCTTGCCACAGGAGGTGCCTTGCACAACTGGCCCTCTGGGCTACTCCTGGCTTGTGCCCAGGCATGGATCCTGTGGCCACCTGACGCAGGCTCAGCCCCTGATGGGAGAGAGTCTGAGCAAGCGAGTGTGCAGTCGTGTGATGTCCACTTGGTTGCTCCAAGTGCCAGCACAGGAGCGGGCTCCATGCAGGGCTTGCAGCTGAACCAGGCATGTCACAAGTGACTCCCACAGTGGACTCTGGTGTCCAGACTAGGGGAAGGTGGTAACCAAACAGGGTTGCCTGCAACCCAGAAGCCCCAGAGGTGGGTATTACAGCATGCCAACAGTTCTTTTAGACCCACTGTCTGCAGCCCGATGTACAGGGGCATGTTAACAGCTCTATCAGTCCTGTTACCCTGCTCTAGCCCACAGCTCTGGGACTGGCCTTGCCCCCAGCCCTGCTTCCTGTTGTGCGGGGTGGCCACCAGTGCTGTTGGTGGAGAGCTACAGTGTTATTGCTTTCTTCAAACCCATGTTCAGTGGCATCCTGAGTTCTTGTCCTGCATCCAAGAATGAGATTAACAACCAGAGGGTGAGGAGGGCAGAGAAGAGTTTTATTGAGTGACAAAATAGCTCTTGATGCAGGAGTTTTGCTCCTCAGCTCAGCTAGGTCTGAGTGTTTGTCTCACAACCAGGAAGAATTAGGTGTGTGGAGAGTGAGTGGAGCAGAATTTATAAGTGAAAGGAATCTCTCAGCAAAAAAAAAAAAGGGGGGGATCCTGAAAGCAGGTTGCTGGTTGCCCTTTTACAGTTGAATACCTGGGCGTAAGGTGCAAATTTTGGAGGCTCCGCCCCATCCTTCCAATGTGCTTGTGGGCTCTTAGTCTGAGCTAGTCCACACTGATTATTTCCCTTACTGCTCATGTGTTAAGAAATGGAATTTTCTACTGTGGGCATGTTTAGGCAAGCCCCCTGTGCAAGTTCCCTTATCTGCACAAAACATCTGGTGTAAGCACTTGTGAGGCGGGTTATAGGTTCTTCGGGAACTATTCCCTTACTGCCTGCCTAAAGCAAGCTGGCTAACTCCTTTTACTCTCAGCTGAGGGAGGACACGAGGGTGGTCCCCCACCCAAAGTGGGGTGGCCTCTTCCAGAATGTCTGAGTCAGGGGGCTTTCAGGGGCTCAGAATGGGGAAGTGCTTGCTGATTGGTTTGTGAGTATGCACCAGAGGCTAAAACAAAGGCACCACTCAAAAGTGGGCACAACAGTATAAAAAACAAATTAGAGGAGGGTGGGTATATGTAAAATATGTAAAGGGTAGGGATCAATCAGAGAAAAGTGTGCCAAATGGGAAGAGCATTTCTCAGTCTGGTCCATAGATTGATCAAGGACATGTAGCTAGGCTTTAAGCTGTCTTTGGCTTGAAGGTCAGGTTTCACTGGGGACTCACCCCCATCTGCCTAGGATTTGTCTCCCTCCTGCTCCTATTACTTGGGTACTTTTAATTCTAACCCTCCTCCATACTGTTGCCAGACTGATTTTCCTAAAGCACAAGCTGTCACTGGCTGTTGCATTCTTTCAGCAGCTCCCAACACCTGTAGCAGAATTTATTTATTTATTTATTTTTTGGAAATATAGTCTTGCTCTGTTGCCCAGGCTGGAGTGCAGTGGTGCGATTTCAGCTCACTGCAACCTCCACTCCCAGCTTCAAGGGATTTTCCTGCCTCAGCCTCCCCAATAGCTGGGATTACAGGCATGCACCACCACACCCAGACAATTTTTATATTTTTAGTAGAGACAAGGTTTCACCATGTTGGCCAGACTAGTCTTGAACTCCTAACCTCAGATGATCTACCCACCTTGACCTCCCAAATTGCTGGGATTATAGGCATGAGCCACAGCCCCCAGCCTATAACAGAATTTCTTACACCCAAGTAAGATACCCAGGATTCTCCATTGTTAACTTAAAATCTTTTTAATATGTTACATATATGCAAAGAAAAAATTAGGTATAAACTCCTTATGTTGTCTCTTTCTTTTTTTTTTTTTTTTTTTTGAGACGGAGTTTCACTCTTATTACCCAGGCTGGAGTGCAATGGCGCGATCTCGGCTCACCGCAACCTCCGCCTCCTGGGTTCAGGCAATTCTCCTGCCTCAGCCTCCTGAGTAACTGGGATTACAGGCACGTGCCACAATGCCCAGCTAATTTTTTGTATTTTTAGTAGAGACGGGGTTTCACCATGTTGACCAGGATGGTCTCGATCTCTTGACCTCGTGATCCACCCGCCTCAGCCTCCCAAAGTGCTGGGATTACAGGCTTGAGCCACCGTGCCCGGCCTCTTTTTTTTTTTTTTTTTTGTCTTTTTGATTTGTGTATGTGTATTGTATCTTTTATATACTGATAACACCCAAACATCTACAAGTTAAATGAAACAAAACAATAAAACCAATAAATTCAAATGATTGTGAGCAATGAGGCTTTAGTTGGACCTGAAAAGCTTTAAAAGTGGATGTTTTCTGTGGCATACCTTCCTTACAGAAAGGCCTGTCCATATTGCCCTTGTGTTGGAGAGATTACTTGATGTCTTTACCACTTTTCTTTATTTAAATCACCACAAAACCTTCCTTGTTCAATATTTCATGATTTCATTTGTCCTTCAGTTGACAATACAGTAGTCCCCATTTCATTCTCATTAACATATACCAATGACAAATGGTACCACTTGTTTAACAGTACACTCCTAAACACACATATGTGAACTCAAATCTTGTGATAGCACTCAATTAAGAAGTGGTCGTTCAGATGATCCAGAGTGACCTTTTGTTAATATTCTTTTTTTTTTTTTAGATTATTATCAAATTGAAAATGAAAGGTTTCTTCTACAGAAATCTCATAGCCTTGAGGATAAATGTACAAAATCCCTAGGGGTTCACATGGGTACCTTATAGTACAAAATCTGAATCCCTTTGGTTAGAATGTCTGGCACTTCATTATCTTCACCTTGCCCACATTTTCAGCCTCATCTCTTTGACCATATCTCATGTTTGCTTTTGTTGTTCTGACATGCTTGTGGACTTTCTCAAGCCAATGTGCCTTTATATTTGGGATTTTCATTATCTGAAGCTTTCTGTCCTCTCCTCTTATAAGTTTATCTCAAGACTCATCCCAGGTATCACAGCTCCACTGAGACCCTTTCCCTAACTCTTCCAGCTTGGTTAGTAGGCTTTTCTGTGCTTCCATGTTACTTTGTACACTGTTGTG